GAAATCATCTATCCCTTACTACTTTTGGCTAGATGTTTCAATGTGACTATGTGAGAGTGTAAGGATATAATACCAGGACGAGTGACCAGCGTTAACCGCCCAGTTCCTAACAGTTCCATTGGTTTAAATCTGATGCAACGGGGATCATCTCACCCCCGCCCTTGCTACCCTTGTCTTTCCAAAAGACTAGTTAATTTTTAAATTGGATCAGTAGCATTTTTTTGAACTGCTGAAGTTTATATTACACAAGATGAACCTAAGACCGAGCAGAAACTTAGTTGACTGAATCTTTCCTAATATGAATGCACTGCACAGTGTATGTACTAAAATTTATATTAAAATTTCTTCATGCAGTTTCCCTCTAGGGAGAGGAAGAGGGAAGGAAAAGGCTACATGTGACAGATGCTAATTATGCAGCTTAATGCACTTCTGGAAGTTGCAGAGATGGGAACAATATGAGAACCTATCTAAAAAATAGAAATCATATTTTCAATAGCATTTTTCCCACAATGTTTTTTCTTTAATCTGCCTCCTCCCCGTTTTTTACAAAGGCGCTATTTCCCAAAGAGCACATACAGTATGCAAAGGGCAAGCGATGTCTCGGGTCCAAAATTTGCCAAACATGGATATGACTTTTACCCTGCATGTCTTACTGTTATTTAGTGCTGTACGTGTGACTGGGAAAGCTGGTGGCTTATAGGTTCTGTAATTCAGATACGAAGCAGGAAGGGAATGGCTCTTAAAAAACCCCTCTAGTTGATGTGTTAGTTTTCTTTCCTCTTTTGTCAATATTTTATTAATTCTTTATCCTGTATTTACATTTACTGGAAAAATTATGTTCTGCACTTGACTGTGCTGGGATCCTATGTAAGTATTTATTGTGACTAATATGCAAGTACTAATGAACTGGATCTCAAAATGCATTTTAGGAATAAGTAACCCGAGACACTTCCTCGAAACTGTGAAGTGAATCAACGCCAAAACCAGTGTTAGACACTAGATTAATCCTCTCTTCCACACGTTGAGCTGTGCTGTTTCAGGCAAAAGAAATGGATTCTCAGCTAGTGAAAATTCGGTGTCGTCCTGAAATCAATGGGGAAAAGCAAGGGTACATTTGCTGTGCATCAGGCCCACGCTGAGTCATCGTACTGGATTTCCGTTCCCTCTGCCAAATCCCAGTTTTACCAAAGGATACTTTTTCATCTTAGAGGGAAAACCATACCAGTTCTTGTCTACTAATGCCGCATGCTTTCTTTTATTTCCTTCAAAGCATTGGATTTCTCCTTCGGGAGGTGTGACTTAATAACATCTCTCTGCCCGGTGAGAGAATCGCTCTAACGACCGTGTTAGATTTCAGCGCATCGTGCTGAAATTTTGCAGGGCCTTCGCCTGCCCCTTGGCACCCACAGCAGCGTGGAGGAGCGGGTTCTGGATGCCGGCGCAGACCGCGCCACGGTCCTCGTCTGCAGTCACCACAGAGAAAACCATCTGTTCCACTTGGAAAGGGGTTTGGTTCCACACGCCCTCCCCCCGCATCCCGGCTCCGTCCCCAGCTGCTGTGTTTCGATGAGCAGTGAGGGAATGAATCTCCTGCGTTAAAAATACTCTGGTTCTATTTAGATATAAAGAAGAATCTTGCTTGCCTACACTGACGTACAGAAATAGTCTTAGTGTGAGTAAATCTTCAAAGTTTCTCGTGGTGAAAATATCTAGCCTCCCTTTTTTTTTTTTAAACTTATCATATAAATTTATTTATAGAGCGTCCTTCTTTCCTCCTACACTATCAAGACATTTGCAGAAGGTTGCCGCTCGTCTTGTTCGTGAGTGCTGAAATAATTTGCAGGGCCTTTGAAACATCATCATGTTGCATAGTTGTGATGCAATGTGCTGCTGTTGCATGAACGTATCATATTTTAATGTGAATGTCATGTTAGCTGAGACATTCAAGTCTTCCTTGTACTTTAGGCACTTTACACTGGTTTGTATTTTCACTCTAACTTTGCGGTCAAAAATTTCTGTATATAGTAACTTAAAATTTTACGTGCTACATGCAAACCATTGCATAGAAAATTAATACGTAATATGAGAGGATTAACAAGATGCATATACTTTCCAAATATCTCTTAAAAATAGTTTTCACTGTCACTGTAGCATCTTAATTCTGAATAATCTCAAAGTCCTTCTGCAAATCTGTGCATATAGTAACAGAGAAACCACCTACTTCATCCTCACAAACTGCACAATATGTATCTGTGCATGAAAAAAAATCGAATTTTGGAGAACGCTCAGTAGAATACTGTAGTTCTGCTCAGTTCTCCTCCCACTCTCTGTGGGACTATTGAAAGTATTAATGCTTGCATTAAATATTAACGCTAGCTTTCCGAATACTTGCATATCTTTTTAAAAGGGCGCCGAGATCCTTAGTACGGAGTTTGCGCCGCGGTGCGAAGCGGGGTGTTGAGCACGGGTCTCGGGGAACCCCAGCCAAGAGGTGAAATCTGGGGAAGAGGAGCCAGGGCGAGCGTTTTCGTGGGACTATTGAAAGTATTAATGCTTGCATTAAATATTAACGCTAGCTTTCCGAATACTTGCATATCTTTTTAAAAGGGCGCCGAGATCCTTAGTACGGAGTTTGCGCCGCGGTGCGAAGCGGGGTGTTGAGCACGGGTCTCGGGGAACCCCAGCCAAGAGGTGAAATCTGGGGAAGAGGAGCCAGGGCGAGCGTTTTCTCTGCTGGTGGGACAGTCTGTGGCCGGACTTTGGCCCCAGGCCGACCAGCAGCGGCGGATGCGCGAGGAACGCCTCCTGCACAGCCC